TGAAGCCCATCCCAACTAAAACTTTAGATGACATTGCAACTAAAGCAGAAAAATCTTTCTGCAAAACCAATTCTATAGAAACCAACAAGGGCAGGCACAGCCTCTTTTTCTATTTATACATAGAAGCATGCCAAAAGAATGCAATGTTAAATCTTGAAATTTCAAGTTTAAATAAAAATTTAGTAATAGAATTTCTAACTAACAACCAATCAGCACTGATTCTCTTGCAAGAGTTATAATACAATTTGACACCTATAACTAATACCTTTCATACCCTCAAATAGTTAAATATTATCAAGAAATTGCTTATCCTAAAGCAGATAAATATCTCTGTGAAAAATTTAATATCACCTTTTAAATTTCTATTCTTGTCAATGAGTTTTTCTTTTTTAAAGAGACTCCTTTTCAATAACTCTGTCTTCTACAATCATAAATATAGCCACAACCTTATCAAATAATACACCTATTGTAGTTAATAAGAAAAATGATACAAGTGGGTAAGCGGGCAAGCCCAATTATGCAGAAGACCATTTATATAATGGTCAGACCCACATATAAGGCAGACTATTAAATCTTGCGCAGCTGTGAGAACCAATTTTGAAACAGTGAATGACCTTATAGAAAACACTTCCATTATTGGCAAATCATTTACAATATCTTTAGACCTCTATAATGAGCCAACTTAACAAGCATAATGGAAGTTCGTTTTTATTGATCGTTGCCTCTGATCATCAGATTGATTATGATTGGTTAACATATCATGTATTACATGTCATTATACAAAATTTGTATGAAAGTTGGTGATATGACAACCTTTCAAATTATTCGTATATCGAAAGTAGATTTTTTATTAGTACATTTTTCATATCTAACTGAACCTTTTAAAACTTTCAGATCAAGTTAGATCAAGTGTTTTAAGGTAGTTCGCTTATATGTAAAAAGTAGCGAAAGTATGAATGAAATTCATATTAGTTTAAGTTTGTAATATAGAATTCTTTCAATTTTTAGCATATTAGTGAGAATTTTTTTTTTTAGTAACATGTTTTTCGAGTTCTAATATACTCTTTGGAACCTTTAGATCAAGTTAGATCAAGTATTTTAAGGTAAGTTACTTATACGCAAAAAGTATCGAACAGTATCGAAATTCACGTTAGTTACTTTTATCTTACACAATATAGTGTTTATATTATCCAGAAAACTTTTTGATAGTATACTTTTCAAGCTATAACGATCTTACTAAAATTTTTAAATCAAGTGTTTAAGGTTGTTAAGTTGTGCGAATTACGAAGATTACGTTAGTCATTTTTAAATTCAATAGCTTAGAGTAAATATAATACTTAGCCGGTAGAACAAATTGAATTCAGAGTATTTTTAATTTGCTACTATTTATCTATATTTTCCAATGCAGTTTGTAATCTTGATACTAATATATCGTTATCTGGTACTTCTTCAGGTTCTTCCGTATCTTCTATTTCTTGCGCTTTCTCGACTTTATCATCTTCAGTAAGTTCATCCTCACCTTTTTCAAGCGTTTCTAAGAATGATTCAACATTTTTATATATTCCGTGCTTATAATATTCTTTACAATGTCGACAACCATATTCCATTCTACTATAGCAATGCCAATGAAAACCATGGCCACAAATCAACACTGTACCGCCCCCATTTTCATTCAATGCTTCATAACAATCATCGCAAAGTTCTGGCGCAGGTGAAACTCCAGCACTATAGCCCATTGGTAAGCACGTTAAATCAACTTCTTTATTCAAAACGGCAAGTTTATATTTTACTATTTTTTTTGGCTTTTTTCTCCTTTTGCCTCGATTATTTTGATTACTTGTGCTAGCAACAGCACTAATATTCTGAAATACTTGACGAAAATAATCCAGCAAGAACAATGATGTTTTATTTGTCAAATATTCGAGAGCAGAAGGTGTATACGGATATCTTTTTTTGGCGCTAAATGTTCATTTAAATAAGGAATGTCGATTTTTATCTTTTTTTTTTTTTTTAGATTTATACTAATTAGGTTTATTTTTTTTAAAAAAAAATGGTTTATACTAGTACTCCGCAAAATTAAATCAAAATTTGAATTTGGATCAAATGTTTGAAATTATTTGATCAAATTAACTAAAAATTTGATCCAAATTCAAAATTTGATTTGATTTTGCGAAGTACTATTTTATGCTCACCTAGAAGACAAGTTTGCTGAATAACGATACTAATACTATCATGAGATGATGTATTTGCCCGTATTTGGCTGTGTAAATTTTCAACAAAATAATCGTTGAAATTTACAAGAAACATTTTAACTATATCCAGCAATGGATGTTTTATATCTTGCCAATAAAAGATATCCGACAAGAATGCCAGAGGTGCCTTATTGTAGTTTTTACGGTTCCAGCATAATGCAAATGTCCATATTCTAAAAATAGTTTCAACATACTCGTCGAAAGAACCGGAACGAAAAAGAACTGCATACACATCCAAAGTTGCTGGAATTACGTTGTTGAGAAGATCGATTAACATTCTATACTCTACATCTTTACACATAAAGTTAAATTTTTCTAATACTCTTACTTTTATTTTTAAGCATCCCTAATAGGAAAGTTCAAGTAAGAGATTTATTCTCCACGGTTTAGGTTTTTGTGCAAGAACCTTGTCTTTTTCAAAAACCGTGCGAAATAATTTATCAAAAAAGGAATAGTAAGTTATTAAAACTTGCTCTCGACTATTTAGTGATACGTGCAAAGGGCCTAACATAGGTACAAAGGCATTAACATCTGCAGGTATTTGTGAATTTCTATTTTGTGAATGTAAGTAAGTTAGTGCTTTCCGTATGAAAAGTTGCCAAGGCCAGTCGGCGACGATTGGAATTACATAATTAGTGCGTCCAATATCCCGATTTATAGAAAGAATCATCTCTAGTGCATTTAGATAATCATTTAAAGAATGAAGATTGCTTTCTTTAATCCCAACTAATCTTACTTTTTCCATGCTTCTTTCTTTTTGCAGATCGTTAATAGCATCGTCGTAACAATGAACAAAAAGAAGGTCGATTTTATCAAAGTTATGCAATTCCATTCCTTGCGAAGCAACCCACTGGTTCTTTCTTAGTATATACGAAATATCAAAAATTCCATGATATTTCGTGATTAAATTTAGACAAATTAACGGTGCATCAACATTTTTAGGGTTATGAACCGAACCACTGTTATAATTAATTGGAATGGGAGCGCACTTAGAAATTTCCTTGCTAATACAAGTTGCAAAATGGATTGGTGCCGAGAGTGTTACAGTATCGGGACGTCTTAGTTTATGTATGTTATGATAATCATCAATATTATATACAAAAAAACTGTTATTCTATTATTAAAAAAGAATTAATTAATTAAATTTAGAAAATCATTATTTAAAACAAAACTCATTCGAACCAGTATTTGTTTTGAACATATAAACTGTCAGATTTGGACTAAGGCTAAGGTTAAATGAACTTAAGGCTAGGGCTAAACAAAAGTATTGGATTTAAGGTTAGTAACAATACTGATTCGAACTATGGATATGAACTTGAATTATAAACATTCAAATTTACTTTTAGATTATATCCTTAGAGTATTACCTGTTTAGTAAAATATTCTCGAATATTTTTTGGATGCTCACTTGCGATCTTTTTTCTGTAATTTTCTACAGTTTTATAACAGACCGTAATACCAGCATTATGCATGGTATTAATTGCATCGCATGATGCACCAGACGCTACAAGATACAATCCAACCTCCAGAGGATAATTGTTTGCAAATTTATTGCGAATTGCTGCCATTGAATAGCATATATTAACTTTTTTTTTTTATCTCTCTTTTATTATAAGCAGACCGTCTACCCGGAATCAATGCTTCGTATAGTTTATTAAAAAATCCTCTCAATAATGGTTCAGAATTCTCGAGCATTGATTTAAAATTATCTGGGTCCAACTCAAGTACTTGACTTTCTTTTCTTTGTTTTTCGTAGAGGACTTTAGTCATTAAGGCAATTTTATTGCCAAAAGACAATGATTTGCTTATAGTTATATTATTATTATTAGGTGTTAACTTATTAGCATTATTATGATCAACACCTTTTCCTCTACTTTCTAACTCTTTTTTTAGTTTTTCAATTAAACTAACTAATTCGTCGTCACTTAATTCTTTTATTTCATCATCAGTTAGTTGTTTTGGATGGGCTTCTGTTGAACTATCTAGATTATCAATTTCCATAGGAACTTCAAGCCCGATTATGATCTTTTTATTATTAGTTAGCAACTTATTTGTACCATTGCAATCGGGTTCAATTATGCTAAGATAATGAGAATAACATAATTGTTTTCCAACTTCTAGGTAATTATATTTATCAAAAGTACCATTTATCAAAAGTACCTTTTTCTTTTGCTTTTTTTAGCACATTTTCCGTAATTCCACAGTATTGATCTGGATTTGTTTGACAATTACGAACTGAGCAAGGGCCGAGATTTTTTCTAGTCATTATGTCTAATAAATTTTAAATTTTGCTTTCAATTCAAAAAATACGATTTTTTTTAAAATTAAACTATTTATTTATTTATTTGTTTTATGTTTAATACATTGTGCTACTACATAATTTTTATTTATTAAAAACTTCACGCACTCCTAAAATGGTGTCTTGCATTATTTAATGCTAATAAAATTGCCCTATCTAATACATTGTGCTACTACATAATTTTTATTTATCAAAAACTTCGCGCACTCCTAAAATGGTGTCTTGCATTATTTAATGCTAATAAAATTGCCCTATCTATTTACTTATGTTAATAATTAGTTATCTGTTTTAATGTTTTTGGCTAATTACTGTGTATTGTGCAAATCTTCCCTCAGTTCTAGTTCTGTATATTATGTGAACACGCTCTTTATAAAGCGAAGTGGTTGATTAATTATGCACGTGATAGGATATTTGTCATTTTATTGGTTAATATAATATGTCAATCATATGATTTGCATAAAATGACCTTCCGATTTGTGTAACATATATGACAAATATTCGGCTAATTAAAACAAACTTCCATTATGCTAACTTAACATACTAACTATATATATATCTTTTATACTAATAAACCACAAATAATTACATATAATACTAACACATGTTATAACAAGATCTTATTATCTCTCAACCTTCCTACACTTCTGTATCCACAAACTATCAACTTTTTTATTAAAAATCTTGAATCCTTCAATTACAATCTTAATAATATATATAACTTTATATTCTATCAATTAATTAAAGAAGATTACAGTATTGCTTATATTTATCCCCAGTTTGTTTATAGTTTTGAATGACATGGTTATTTCACAACACTAGTTGAAAGCTACAAATATTTTCTCTTCATTCTCCTTTCTACCATCTCAGATATCAACTCCCTGAAATCAGCAACTATTCTCAACATAGTTAAAGATGATTAGACCTACAATCTATACTATTACTTCGCACAAGATAATTATCTCAACCTTTACAATACTAAACATACTACTGATCCAGATCCAAGACCTCTTCCACATTCATCATACTTATGCTTTAAAAGATTTCTCAGTTACTATAATATTCTAACACTACCTGAACTACAAACTATTATCTTATTTCTCAATCATCTCAGCTTATTTGAATACAATCTAAAAAACTTCTATTTCAATATCCTTACTATTTCTATTAAAAAAGACTACTCCAAAGCACATATATATCTACTTTTTGAATCTAAACTACTACCAAATTATTTTGTTCTACTTAGAGAAGCTCTAAAATATTATTGCAATATTACTCTTAAATCTAATAGCTACATTATATCCAATATACTAACAGATCTCTTTTTAGCTACTCCACCATCAATAGCTGAACCTCTTACTGCAGAATGACAAACTGCTATACCACAATTAACAGAATTACCAACTACTCCAAATCTATTCTCATCACCAGATATGTTTATATCAACCCAACCACCATTATCTGAATCATCAGACCCAAGCTCTAATTTTATAACAGAGCTTATTATAACTGCTCTACTACTTTATAAAACTAGAGTCTTAATTTATCAATCTGTATTCATAATGTATAAGGATATAATGAAGACCTTAAAAAACAAGTCTGGGAAGACTTCTGCCTTTCTAACAGCTTCAACATTATTAGTATCACAGAAACTAAGATCTTTAAAGACATTGCAATTACTCAACTTACTTTTGGTCCTGCATAGATAGTGCTAAAGCAGGTGTTGCTATTATAATCTGAAACTAACTTAAACCACATATTTACAACATTCTTACTTAATCAGTTATACTATTGCCATCGACCTTTTCTTTAAATAGACTTTAAGTTTAAAATTATTAACATTTATCTATCTTGTGATAGTTTTCAACTCTGTTTACAAACCCAAAACACTGTTATCCAATGTATTTAACAAGCTATTTTCTTAAATATCCAACCTATAGTTATGGGAGATTTTAATGCTTCTAGTGACAATACACAATCTTTATCTATTAAATATAAGCTTCTTTATTTTCTTCAATATAACAACTTATATGACTTGGCAGTCCACATATAATCTACAAATACTACATAGCACAATAGCAAACATAATAGTAGTTGTATCAACTACATCTGGTCTCACCATCTTGTTCTCTGCTACCTAACCTTATTTTATCTTAAGAATACCAATACTTGTACCAAAAGTGACCACAAAATCCTAATATCTTCTTGGTCCTTCTCATATGCACTTACAGGCAAATATTGATATTTAACTAAAACCAAAAGAAGAATTTTCTAATACAAAAACATGAATGAAGAACAATGATTAAATTACTCAGAACAAATCTCATCCAACCTCCAAACTAACAACACTTCTTATATCCCTTAAACTGTATTCCAGGCAAATTTGCCTAGAAAATTTAATTGTATTTAGTATTTATTAAATAAAATAATAATTTATTAATGATATGGGGTATATATTTATTATAGAATATATTCTTGAAAACATATTTTATA